AATCAGCTCAGGCGTGTCGAGGAGGAAACTATATTCCGCCTTGGAACTAAAGAACCCCATGGTATTAACAAACAGTTCAACTCATTTGTTGAGCTCACTACCTAAGGCGCGTTATTTGTTCTATTGTGGAATTTTTTGTGATTCTAACTTATAGTTCATGCGCGTTCTTACGTTCCTATGTTCTACCTGTACGTTATCACACTTGCTTCTATGCTATCGATAAAGAGCCATTGCTCGAAACGTCTAGCTATTTTTAATAGTTATTTAGGACTACGATTACCAAATATTATCTTCAATATATCATACTTATCAGTCCGAGCAGCGTTTATTTATTTATAACCTCAACATATCCGCGCAATAATGTTACTAATATATATGTAATAATGGCGGATTGTGAAAAGACCATGGTTTGAATTGAATAAAACATTAGTGTAATGTATACTAATTTAATTCCAATTATTTTATTTTCAGTCAGTATATTTATTACAATATAGACTGGTAATGAAATTAATAATTACCCAATCAATTCACTGGGTTGATCGTATAAGGCGCCCTTAGATAAAATATTGGTTACATTTTTTCTCGTTACACGGTATTCAAGATGCGTTCATCACAATGTGTTTTATTTGTATCCTTATGAGTTTATTTCGTCCTAACTGTTTCAAGTTTTGTTTTATAACTTTATATATGTTACAAGTCGTTTGCTTGTCATACTAATCTAGTGATAACAAGTTTTAGAAAAAAATGAAATCATTTGACCCGAAAAGGCAAGTGCGATTTACGGCAAATGTAATGATGATGATGCTGCGTATACATGGCCCTACTACACATTTAAACATACTTATACATTTATTTATTTTTAAAACCAGTTATTGAACGTGAAGCTAGTTTTCGAATGAGGGGTACGTTATTGAAATTAGTATCATTATCAGATGCCCTTAGTATGTATTATAATACCCGATGTCTTATTATATATTATTCAGTATATCACCCGTGCTCAATAATCCACGTGTTCGTAAAGACTGCACAACTAGTGCACGGAAACAATTCCATTTCCCGCACACTTTGTTTTGGTTCGAATTTTACCTAAACAGAGTAAATTATAATGTGGACAGATTATGGACTGGAGAACTATCATACGCATTGTTGTGTGTAATTATTGAAGTTGAGCCATGTAGAAGATACAAGGGTTTCATTCTGATACTTTTGAAAAACATAATACGAAGTATACAATTAATAAACACATTTCATGTAAACGACTTTTATCATTAGCGGTGCCTGTAGCTTGGGTAATCTGAGATCACGTTTGTACAGATTTAGTAAAGAACATTATGACGGCCTATAATTTATAGCAGTTTAATTTTGGCTGGTAAAGCAACGGTTCGGTACGGTTTGTGAAAAATAAAAACACATTTTTATAGTGCCTATCTATATGATGAATGGTTTTATAAATTAGTGCTTTGAACACCACGCTACAGAAATGTATTGTGAGGACGTAGCCCGATACAACTTCCCGATGTTACGTGGTCTTAGAATTTATGCATTGGGTGCTTTCCATCTATTTTTCCATAAATTGATATTGATTACTCAGGCACCAGGACGACATCTTATTTACGACTTCACGGCATAAAATAATTGCACGTTATCAACAAAACAAAACAATGAAATGTTCGGTCCAGCTGATTCGAAATTTGCAATGGAAATTATTGCAATTAACACCATGGCTTGTCCCCTCGTATTGCAAAATATCACCAGCTGTAAAATGAAAACAGATCAGCACTTGCGGTGTCAAATACATGGCCAGTGTACAAAGTGTTAATGTAGTTGGTAGTAATTGCAGAATTCCTTAAATACTGATTATCAGGTGGATTTACCTGTGTAGCAACAACATAACAACACGACAAAGGATTGCACTCTGACGTCCCTCATGAACTTTATTGGAAACTTGGGGGTGATTATTTGTATTAATTGATGGTCTGCAACGGCATTTCTATTATATCTTGTTGTAGTATGTCTATTATATATTTAATCAGTATCTGGTAGTATTACACAATGAGATTATTGGTATACCCAGGTCTATCTCTGTTCAGAATATAACGTTATCTACGTTGGTAATATGCTGTTATAACAACAGAAGGCGCTTTGAAAGGTTGCCACTGTCATACGTTGGCTGTGTAAATGTTATTGTTGTTTTTTTCTAGTTCGTTAACCGGAGTGTTAAATAAGCTATTGTGAAAACCTTGCACTAAGAGACGATTCCACGTGAATAATGGAGAGTACAGAAACTTTGCAAACATGGAGTTAATCGATCTGTACAAGGATTGTTATTGTCTAATACATATACTCTCATATATCTTCACTTTTACAGGTAACTGTATCAGCATACATGTCAATGCAACTAACAACAATTAATAAACGACTACAACAGGTGGATAATAAAACCGTGGATCAATCAATTATATTAACAATAAGTTATAAAAATTCCAACTGCAATTAACTAAACTGGAAATACCCACAATACATCAATGGCAGACAATGATAAATTAATGGAAGAATGGATATTAACAACATTAGTAATGTTATTGGATTCCTAAAAATGTCAATGAAATGCAAATGACGAGGTACATAATAGTCAGAATAAGAGAAAATATCTTGGAATTATAAGATCGTTGGTTAAACTTCATATCACATATGACATCGAAGTATCGGAATACACATAACCAAATTTGAACACCATTTGCAGTACACAGAAAATCATTGTTAAATTATAACACTCTTTGATTTTACTACAAAATTCACATCATAATTTTCATTTGAGGATCTTTATGTATGACATCATTAAGGGATTTTTCCACTATTAACAACTGTGAGAACATATAAGCACTACTGAGGTTCTAAGGTA